GCCCTCCCTAAATTGTATATTCTTGTATTTGTATTTCCAAAAACTTTTTGCCTCTTTTTAAATGCATTTCCGATACGTATCGCGATACATTTTTACAGATATATTTGAGACTTGAGTATCAGGATCTTAACAACTATTTTTATCTATCGCAGTATTTGTATTTCCAAATACATTTTTGACTATTTCTGCCCAACCCTGCAACACAATGCAGCTGTCAAGTGACACTTTTAACGTTTAGGAATTAGAGGAATGGAATGGAACGATTCAGCCACTCCAGGAGTGGGAATGGGCCCACTGCCCCCACTCCTAGGAGTTGAAAGGAATGGAATTATCGAAAACTCTAATTCCCCGGAATGGAATTGGAATGGAATGGGGGTGCCCATTCCGCAACACTGGTGCCGACAGTTACTTGGGTGGCGGCGACCACGACCAACTGACGAACGTTTATTTTCTTTGTTTTCCTTCCTCTCAAAACTCTGACTGACTGAACGTTTATTTTTCTACGTGTTCTTCCCGCGCGTGCCGACTTCAAGCAGCAAGAAAACAGTACTTAAAACAGACCACGACGAACAAGAACGCTGGATCCACCGACTCCGACGAAGCGAGCTGCTCAGAATATAGGCCTAGCAGGCATTCCGACTCGGCGCTGCGTTGCTTCGTCGCAAGACCGTCTGCCTACGACCGGCTCGCGTGCTAAATGGAATATGCCCGCGCGACCCTTGTGGACCCTTTCGGTATTATAGTTTGATCGCTGACCTCAATTCTAAGAGGTGAGGTTAATCTCTTCCCCTTGTTTTCCGAGGCAGTGTTGACGAACACTCATCGAAAAGGGACTGTCGTCGATTCTATCTTGTTTTGTGTGATATAGAGCTGAAATAAACGGTGTATGGATTACCTTCGTAACACGGTATGTACACTTTGTTATTGGTATGCCATTTTTATTCTGACAGACTGCACGTCACTGTCGAGCTATAACAGTTCGTGGGAGGTATACGTACAACCCCGGTCCAACCTTTCTTTGCCGAGTGTCGCGTCATTATCGAGTTGCAATCGTAAAAGAACGGTCCCGAAGCGCTTACAAACAGCGCGAATATAGCACTTCCACCAAGCGCGCGCGTCCGCTCCGAGTGTAAACAAGTATTTACGTGGCTCTTGCTGACACTCGTAATTCAAACGTATCTTTTTTAACGTCGGCTCGCTCCTGCATCTCCGAGGCCGCGAAAAACGCCATCTACGTCGCTTTGCAAACGACTGACACGGGCCGGCCCTTCTGCCAACAATGACAGGGTGGTTGACTTCTGGAGTCTTCACCGGAAGACTCGCTGCACTTCCCAAAAGGCATACCGGCGTATGGGACTAGTCCCATGCTGTCGCTGTAGCGCAACATATCTCATTGAATTTCGCTCAGCTGCGATGCGGCGATGAGAGGCGCTGATTCAGGAAATACGTCGGTGACATCAGCGCAGTAAAACCTACCGGCGCACCCCAACTCGTTGCCGCTAATACTCCCATTCTCCTACTGCCGAGAGAACTTCCGGTTCCGGAAACGGCCTACGTCACGGCTTGTTTTGCGGTCAGTTGGAGAGAATGAAAAAGTCGATATTTCAATAATTTTTTGTGTAGAAGTTAATAAACCGAGACGAAAACGGATGCCTGTTCGGCATTCAGTGAGCATTGACGGTTTAATGTAAAAGTTATCTGGAAAAAGTAAAAAGGTCATTTCATGGTCCCTTTAAAATATCAACACTCCATTCAGCAACTGCCTTCTGTGCGTCGCCATTTTGTTGCATTGTGGCAACAAAGTGGCGAAATTGGCGTTGTTTGCGATTACAAAACACTTTTTCTTGAGCTTTAGGTTGAGATAGGGTGCCAGAAAGCTGAGGAAATATTGTTTTGCTCTGTCGGGGCCTGTTTTAATGTTTTTGGAGGACGGATAATCAATTTCCTGCCATTTCAAATACAGTATAATTCTGTGTAAAATATTAAAAAAAAAAAAAAAATCGTAGAAATTATTTGTGTATGCGTTGCACCCCCTTGTTTTAGAGGTGCGCCGACTGTAATGCATGAAAGTTTCTATGAATATATATCGCTAGGTGGTGCTAGCCACCGCCCGAGCACGTAGCGGCACGTCTCCGCATCCCCGATATTTGCTCTCCACTCATCCGTATCACCGTATGGCACAATGGCTGCCGACCTCGATCGTGGTCGGCCGCACCGTCGGGATGCGTTTATGTTGCGCCGGAAGACATTGAGAAAAGATAAAGGATATGTCCGTTTCCGTGGCAAGCGCGAGGAATGGGGATTCAGCGGGCTCGGCTCGCGCGTGCACTCAGGTTTCTGATCGCCACTGTACGCTCTTGGGAGGTTTTCTTTTCTTCTTCGATTCGTGTCAAAGCGTTGGGATTTGTCTGCCTTTTCGCGCAATCAGAGCTAAGGGCAAGTACCACTTCAACAGTCATACGGGATTCAAGTCGAAAGTTGCCGTGCATGCTATCAAGTACAAAAAAAAAAGATGCATATTGCGCAGTATGTAAACTAATTGAATCCGACTGAAGGCGTTTTCCACCAGTGCAGCCGAGCGCACTCATGTACGTTCATTTCGAAATGTGGATACAGATATTTTTTTTATCCGTGTATGGGCCGCACCTTGAAAATTTGCCCTCAAATCGGGAAAAAATAGTGCGGCCCTTACACGAGTTTATACGGTAAAAGCTTCAGATAAATGGGAACGATTTTAAACTATAAGATGGTTAAGGGGGAACACTGGTCTTGGAGCTTTTTTTTTCTTATTTTATGACCAAACTCAATGAAACTGCACAAGCTTGTTCAGCTTTTTGGGCTGATTTCATATATCTGGTCATTTTCTTAGTCAGTAGAATTGTCCTCAAGAGAATTAAAACTTGCCCGCCTTTGTTTGGAGCAACGATAGGAAAAAAACTGTTCGATAAAATATCCTTTTTAACACATGGCTATATACTATGAAGTGTAGAGAATACAATGTTGGAAGTACTTTTAAGATAAACCCATTGTTAGTGATTTTACCACACATTGAAGTTCAGTGCTCAGTGTAGGGCTAACAAGTAATAAAATAAAAGATAAAATAAAAATTTTTCTAGGCTTATATTAAAAAATCTACTCTCAACATTGTATGCATCACACGTTTAGCTGCATATTTCAGATAAAAGTTATATTTCTGTCTGCAGTAGATGCTGAGATATCCCTCCTGCAAATTTTCAATGAGTCCAAAAATTGTGTTTTGGGAAAATAATGTTTTACAGTCAACTTCAATACACATTCAGCCCATATAGACATTATGAATTGATATATGGCTCAATTATTCATCCACGAAATTAGAAGCCTGGTAGATTCGGAAGAACAGCAGCTATGGCCATTTTCAAGAGAATGCAGTTTTAGAAAGTTTTTGGCTCCAAAGACCCATGTCCCCCCTTAAAGCATTGGTACTCGAAAGGGTTGCTTGTTTACTGGCTTTGAATGGGACCTTGCAGTCCCCGGCGTAGTGAAATAGTCCTGAAGCTCCTAAATAGACCACACTCTGTGCTTCTTACAAGTACCAACATTTCTTGAAGTGCTACTAATTGTGTTCGATGGTGCAGGTTTGAGGAAGGTAATAGCGACATAAGGCAGCGGAATGAACTGAGAGGTGCCACTTTGTTCCCGTAGAAAGTCCCTCGTCATCCCTGTTGGTTGCTGTTACTTGTAAAAGACTGGTTCGGAACTTTAATTGCAGCCAATAGCAACTAGCAGCAATGGGATACATCCAGTGACGACGGCATTGCAACGATTCGAGGGAGGGAAGGACGATCCGGTTTCTCTCTGCCGGCTTCTGTTTCGCGGTCCCTTTTAGAGTGGCCATAAAGTTGTCAGTTAATTGTATTGAGACATTCAATAGACCCTTTCCGAAATTCAGTCTGGCCAGTTTGATAACTATCATCATCTAAGTACATAATCTGTAATATGTACATACTAATGGCAGCTAGCCTTTTGGTGGATACTGAAGAAAAAATTTGAAGACGGGCACCTATACGGAGCTTGAACATCCCAGGCATTAGTTTGTTGTATAGCTGTTCTTTGTCACCGTGATGAGACTTACGAGCTGCTGTGCGCTACGCATTTAAGGGTGTTGTGTAAATCCTTGGACTGCTCGGCTTCGCCACACTTGAGACAGCTCATGACAATAAAGTGTGATGAATGTTATGGAGATTTTTTTTTATTAGACTAAGTGTCTCGTACATAGCGGTAGTTGCTTGACACCAGGTAAAATGAAACAAATAGAGAAAACCGTGTACATCGAAAGGCGTAGTAACTTTTGTACATCTGCCGTTAATAACTAGGCACTATATTTCAACCGCCATTGGCATACATAAATTTAGGCTGATATTTGAACCACTAAATGGCACTGAATTTGTGAAAGGGTCTATAGTAGTTATGCCGTTTTACGGTGCTCTCACGCTAAAGAATCCTGTACGGTTGGTGTCGCACGGCACCTGACGGGATCACCCAAGAGCAGCTTTTCCTGGTCCGGAGACTCTGGATAGTGCATAGATGTTCCACATGTTTCTTTAGCTGCTCGTTTGTGGTGCAATGCCCAGATAGCAGAGCTGATGCCCAAGGACGCTGTGATTGTGAACGAGGGCGCCAACACGATGGACATTGGACGCACCATGCTGCCTAACTACCTCCCACGCCACAGGCAAGGCCACATTTTGTTAATGTGCTGGTTCGATGCCTAGTTGTTGATTTTATTCTCTTTGTAAGGAAGTTAATAGTGTTGTATGAATACTCAAAATGTTGAGTAGTAGTTTCGAATAATACACTATTCGATAATCGCTCCAAGAAGAACTGCAATATTTGTATTTTTCGCAATGTTTATCACGGTAGGTTAGTCCCGTTGAGTGTGTTTCTTACCGAGCACCAGTGAACTGCGGGGAAGCAATACTTGCGGAAGCGAGCTCTGCGGGTGTTGTCTCTCCGCAGTGTACCGGTGCTCAATTTGAAGTACACTCAACGGGGTAACCCGCCATAATCAACACTTGCAAAAGTATTAATTTCGCAATAGCGTGATAGGAAAACCCATCTTCAAACCGGGATTCTTCACGCATACGCCTGGTGTACTTGGAAAAAAAAAAAGGAAACTTTGTGAAGGTTAAAGTCTTCATTGCTGTGAAATTTTTAAAATTAAACTGGCTGTTATGCAAGAGTATATGTTAGGCAGAGATTCCCCGACAACCTGCATTCATCATTCGCGATTTTTCTTTTTCAAATTCAATATTGAAGAAAGAATATTTGCATATAGCAAGATTTTTTCAAATTAAAAAAAATGGGTATAGCAGGTATCTCTCTAGGATTAATTTTATGTCAAATCCATTTTTTACTTGCCATTTCAAGGTATCAGGCTTTGTAAGGTCACAGTCCATAAATATAGCTAGATTAAAATTAGCTTATAAATGAACAAGTGTAAGCTTGGGAACAACCTTCATGAGTTTAGCTGGGTTTTCAATTAAGCATGGTGAAACAGTAGTGAAGTACTTGGAAAATCTATTCGATAGTCGATTAGAAAATATTCTGTCAAAACCACTACAGTGCCATCTGTTTATAATGGTACCACATATATAATGATGTACTGCTTATAATGATCAGTTTCTAGAGTTTCTAGACTGGAGATGATCTGTTTCTTGTTCAGATACAACGAAAATCAGTTATAATGCCTGAATTTTTTGGCTTTTCTCATTATTGTTATAAGTGTATTGCACTGTATTCACTTTCAATTTGTTTCGAACTTAAAATCCACTATTTGCACATCACTAGAAACTGAAGCTCTTTGGTTGGTAGAAACGAAAAATCGAGGCCTTTAAAACACTTTGAGGATATTCAGTATGATGAAGTATATAGATGCTTCAATTCAAAGCTAGAACTGGAGTAACTTAAGCAACAAAAAATAATTAAAAACTTATGGTTGAAAATTAAAATGATTCAATATGGTTTATTGTGTGTTGGTCAATGACCTGCACAGCCTCGCTGCCCGCAGCTTCGTCATCGTACGATTGATCGGAGACTAATGTAGTACTCCATTGTTACAGTGGAAAGAAGAGCTGTCTCTTCAGTCTTCCGAATCGAATAGTGGGGGAGTCATTCAAAGCCCCATCTTGTTATTCGGCTCTTTTTGCCATGTGTAGAAACCAGCAGAAACATGGTAGTGTTCAGTTGGCATTGCATTTGACAACCTTGTCCAGTCCTTTTCAGTGTTTCACTTCTCAAAAGTAGCCATGCTGCAAGATGCCAATGAAAAAAACCTCTATTTACAGTTGTGTCTGCTGTCTTAGCTTTGAGCCAAGATCTGTAAGCATGCGGATCCAGCAGTCTTTCACATTTCTCTCTACCCCCCCTCCTGCAGGCTGGATGCAGGTACCTACGGCACAATGGGTGTGGGCATGGGCTTTGCCCTGGCGGCTGCCCTCTGGTGCAAGGGCCAATCGCCGACCAAGCGCGTAGTCTGCATTCAGGGGGACAGCGCCTTCGGCTTCTCGGCCATGGAGATGGAGACCGCTGCCAGGTGGGAGCACCAAGTGTGTTGGATGTTTGGATCAGAGAATCAAACGAGTCTATTGGATGTTTGGATCGGTGACGAAGTGTGTTAACGCACCGGAGGTTGAAACACGTGGAGCAAAATCTCGCACTGCAGAATCCCGGGTTCGATTCCCACCCCTGTCTGTTTCGATCTAGATGAGCATCACACCGGCTTGCGGTTGTGTCAACACTGCGTGGTGCACGTGAAAGACCCCTGGCTAGCAGTGGTACTGCACTGACTAAATTTCTGGTCTACAGCGGAGACACCAGACAGCCATTGGGCCGACTAACAAATGCTCTGAAAAACGCAGAGCTTCGAAACAAAAATAAACTTCAAAAAATATTCTCCGACTTTCCTAAAAAAAAAGAACCTACAAAAACATACCTACAACCCTACCCATAAAACACATGGCCCCACTCAAACAGTTACTACCTCTCTTAAATTTAGGCTCTCTATACCGACGAAACACAAACTTGAGCGTGAACTGGGTGCCGTGCGTGCTTGTTTGTTCGCTTTGTGTTCTGTGTCTGCGTTGGTGGTTGGCATGGTCGCTCTGCACGAAAGTCTGACTTCGGTCAAGCACCGATTGAGCGAATCATCACCACTCAACGGTGGAGTGTCCCAGCATCGCCGGCACCTCGACAAAGAAGAGGAAGGCAACGTCCTTGAAACAAAATTGTGCAATCCTCGACAGATTAAGCTTAAACGTAAAGAATGCTGTCTACTGCCTTTGTAGTGGACAGCAACAACCATTTGCGATTGCGACAACCATTGCAGCTATCGACACGGTCTGTATGTAGCTCGCAGGATCTTCCCTCGATCTAAGCTTCTTCTTCCAGTTGGCGAAAAGCATTTCCGATCTAGCGAAAAGCGCATGTAGGGAAGCCTCGACCGCCTTTTGCAGGCACAGTAAACGTACCGTAATACCCTGAGAGATAGCCCACCTAAAACTGAGAGCATGTTAAACAAAAATCAAGGGTGAGCTAACTTTCGGTGTGTAAAATTGAGTTCAACTAAAGCCATTAGGATAATTAAAAATTGTGCTGAAAAGCAGGGTGGTGCTATCTTTTGGGGATGGGTCTTCTCTTGTGACAGCCTGTGTATCTTGTTTTTGCATTACTTTTATGGAATCCAGACATAATGAAGACTCAGATATAGCGAAGTTCTTTTCGAGCCCCAATGATTTCGTTGTAGCCGGTCTCGACAGGAGTGAAAGGTGGTAGAAGAAACTTGTAAAAAAACCTCCCAAAAGCCTTTAAGCATCGTCCAGTGTGTTGCCAAGAAACTTAGAGGTTTTTGACTTTGTCTTTTGATGACTAAACATGATGTACAGTAGTGAACGATATGCAACAACATTCCATCTGCCCTTTTGCTATGATTGTGGTCACCACGGTGTAAGATAATACTCTTCAGGTGAGGACCGCGCTCCTCGCGCAGTGGAGATAAAGTTTGCTTTTCACTCTCTCTCTTTCTTTCTCTCACTATGGTTTCAAGCGGTGCCGGCAGACGACTCGTCGACCCGTGGGCACGGCACAAGACGGCTCGTGCCTCCTCATGCTCCATACGCGCAGAGCTCCAGCAAGGTTGTCGCTCGTGCAGAAAGACCACGGTGTACCGGGGTGTCATGGCAACGAGATCATATTTTTTGCTCCCATACAGTTCCGCCGTTTGGCCGCCGGCGACACTGTCAGCCGCGGGCGCGGTGGCCGCGGAATAATGCAGCCTTTCGGATGCCCGTCGAACAAACACTATCTGATTCCTCGTGCCGCGCGTTCAGCCCCGCCGTGTCCTCACCTGAAGATGTATCTTACACCGTGGTTTGGACCAGGTTGTCCCGAATGACTGGCAGGTGCTCCAGATAGGCATGACGGACTGTTCACTTTCATATGTCACACAACTGTACCAAAATACTCCGAAAAATTGTAGAGCCCTTCCACTTCACATGAAGATGGAGGACCAGCGAAGTTGTTACTTTTACGTCTAGGACAATGCCTACAGGACAGTGTCTAGGACGATGCCTAGAGGGCAATGTCTAGGACGACCTCAAGGACGACTTCTAGGATGACCTCAAGGACAGCCTTCTCCTGCGCCGTTGAACTCCATTCATCATTATCAACTCAAGGATGGCCTCGAGGACTATACCTAGAGGACGACCTTGAGGACGACGTCTAGGACAACCTCAAGGTCAACTTCTGCGACGACCTCGAGGACGATGCATAGAGGACAATGCCTAGGACAACCTCAAGGACGACTTCTAGGATTACCTCGAGGACGAGTTCTTGGATGACTTCAAGGACAACGTCTAGGACGACCTCAAGGACGATGCCTAGGACAACCTCTTGGACGACTTCTAGGACGATCTCGGATAACAGTGCCTAGAGATGATAACGAGGGATCAGGGCTTCACTATCTAATAATACCAAGGAAGACTGGCTCATGCTGGTTGCCCCCTCTTTTTATTCATTCATACTTGCCACGACCAATGGAGAGGTTTCTGTCAACATCCACGGACGCATTTTTTCCCAGACCCTAGCGCGTAACAGCATCGCTGTAAAACTAAGAATAAAAAAAGTCTTATTTTTCACCCACGTTGTGCAAAGAAACGAAAGGATAGCTGTAGTGCGGTCGTGCAATGCAGGCGGAATATGGTGCTGTCACTTACCTGACGACGTAGGTGCGACATGGTTAATTCTCATAGTCGTCGTGGATAACACTGACGACTGCCACAGGTGATCCGTGAAGTGAGTGAATAAGCATGGGGAAAGTTTTCTAAGCCATCCAACATTACGCATAGCAACTGGATACTGCCAAAGTGGGATTTTGCATAACGTGACTAATGTTTGAAAAGAAGGCTTGCAAGCAGACAACACAATGATTGTTCCTTCGCTGTTCAATTCTTGGCTGGACGCCAGGCTGCCCTCTTTGCTCATTTCGCCCGGCACAGCGGAGAAGAAGTCTTGACTTCCCTCTCGGTAAGAGGAAAGAGAAAAAGGGTTTTTCCAATTTTTCCATGCTTGGCGCGCGCGGCGACGACCGGGACAAAGACAATATCCCTGCAGATAGTCGCCCATGAAGCTATCGCTTTAGAAAACATTTATTCACATCTCTACCCCGAAGCTTGTTTCTATGTGAAATGTGCGATTAGAGTCTCCCTCCTTTTCTCTTCATACTGAAGAAGCAGAAGGAAGGATGCATTGGCTCTTTTTCTTAGCACGAGGAAGAGAAAGGGTGCAAAAATTTGGGTGCATGCTGGAGGCCGGGCGTTAGAGAGAGGCGCCCTGTTGTTGTCACCTTGTCGGTGACCATAGGAGTCTGATTATTTTATCAGTCACAAAGTATTCTATAGTTATTCGTATACAGTAAAACCTCGTTATAACAAAATTGGATATAACAAATTAATGGATATAACAAAGCAATCATAATTCCCCTTGCTTGCTAGTAGTAGGAAGAAATGGACATTGGCTATAACAAACTAATGGTTATAACGAAATAATTATGACCGCTCCTTCAACTTTGTTATAACGAGGTTTTACTGTATGTCGCATGACGTTTCTAGTTTGTTATTTGTTATCCTTTGCGGTGCAGTTTAATCAAGGTGTGAAGACTATAGTGTTGTATTTGAGTATTGTTTCAATTATAAAATGCGCGAAGCGGCATGCAAAGAGGGAGTGCACACGCCTACGATGTGCGAGACGACACGTCAGCACGAGACAATAACCAAATAAATGTTTGGCTATTGGGGTTACATCGGCTGCACCTCGTCTTGTCTTTTCACCGTAAGCCACACCATATAGTATAGTGGTTCTCAACCACTGATGTTTTGGGAACCCCTTCTGGATAGGTGGAAGTGATGGGGGGCCCTATCCACCAGGAGGAAGGTGATCGAGGTACGATTACAATGACAAAAATGTAAATGAAGGAAACTAAATGCATGCAAATCAACTTAGAAGTTCTGAAATGAAAAAGACTCTACCCTATTCACGCGGTGCGCATAGTTTGGTTTATTTAGCTTTGTGGAACAACCTGCATCAATAAAAAACAAGATTTATTGCTTGGCTTGACAAACGGTCTAAAGCTTCGGGGGCTCTAAAGGGTCCACGGACCGCCATTTGAAAGCCTCTGCTACAGGAGGTTCATTTAGTGAAGGAGGCGACGACTTAATTAACCGAGAGAAGAATGCTAGAAATAGGACAAGACACTCTGGTAGCAGACTTTTCAGAAAGTTTGGACACTTTGGTAACTGACTTTTCAGAACTTCTGAAAAGTCTGCTACACTGTACTTGCAAGGAAAACAAAAAAAGCTGGCTGGATCATTTGGGGCTTGTGTGTCAGCTCTGAAAATAGGGCAGGTACATCCCTCGATGAACAATTGCCAAGCCACATCAAATGCAGTCTTTTTCTGGAGTCGTGGGACTCGTAATGCATTGCTTCGTGAAGATTGTTCATTTGCGTTTTTTTACATTTTGCGCTTGCAGGTACAAGCTCCCTGTGATTGTGATAATAATGAACAACGCGGGTATCTACAACGGCTTTGAAGAGGACACTTGGCAGACATTCTACCAGTCGGGCGAGGACCTTGGGCTGGTGTAAGTCCCGTCTTATTGTGTCGGTGCACACTGTGTTTGTAGCGATGCTGGAACCAATAGACCTAGCTTTTTTTAAATTCAATTCCTGCCGGTGGCTCAAATATCAGTCTAGCTTTTTGCATGCTAGTGGCAGTAAGAATGTAGTATTTTATTGGGTGCAGTCACTTTTGTATGTCAGTAGCAGACAATGATGTGATTTGGGCCTACCGGTGTTTATGAAGCACTTGCTTGAGACCAGACTTGTACACGTTACTGAAAAATAGTAAGAAATTACATTTACAATTACTCAAGGCTCAATAGTAATTTATTACCACTTACAGTTACCCTCCCATAAAAGTAAGTGACCGTTACCCCAAAAAGTAATCTGTTACTTTTGAGGCGTTACTTTCAACAATATTGTCTTCAATTAAGAAACAAAGGGAAGAGGGTTATTCAAGTTCTTATTGTTGCAACCTGTCCCATTTAATAACCTTGAGTATTTTGAGTAACAGCTGGCCCTCGAAAGTCGCGTCAGACATTTTGCGCTATTTCTTACTGAAGATGTTGGCTGCTGCACTGAACAACCCCTGAACTGAGGCACTGGATGGAAGTGCCATATTATGCCTGACGAATGCTTTATGCTCTGCATTGAGCTCCTTCAGCGAAGCAATGGAAGTGCTATTTACCTCGAAGATAGAGCAAAGCGTTGTCGTTGGAGCCGTTGCCTGATATTCGAGAGTTTTAGTAGACCGTTCTGGTACCTCGATAACGATAACCATATGATGCATGCACAAAGGCAGCGGCGACGTATCGGGTATCGTTATCGGAGTCATCGGACCGGTCTATTAAAATTCTGTATTGTCGAAATCGCAAAGCTGTAGAAGTATCATACGTCTAGCCAAAACTGGAATAAGAATTGATTTATGTCCATCTTACTATACCAGCATTTATTGCTAGGCAATAGCAAAATATGGTTGTAACAGTAAGGTGATAATTAAATGATAAATAAGGTTTGGCTCGATATTCTTCTTCCTTTATTTCTGAACGGGTTGAGCCTCGCTTGAGACGTTGGTAAATAAAAAAAAAGTTTCCAGTATATAAATATAAGTAATCGAAAAAAAAAAAAAGAAGACTCATAACAACAATTAATTAGAAGGTTGGTCAAAACAAGGAAATGCAAACGCAGGTTTGCCATGTGTACCTTTCTTGGTGCCGTTCAAAAACGCACGGAGCACGAACCGACTGCAGTTTACTCCGGTGTTCTCCAGATAGACGTCCGCTGATGTCGCGGGTAGCGAAGGGCAGATAACTAAGTAAGCCGCGCTATGGCCCCGCTCACGAGTTTCACTCACTCCTCAAGCCCAGAATATCAAGCCTACGTCAGCCACCTATGTTTTATTTGTAAAACTATCTGCTTCAGAGCGTCTTGCTGGGGTAAAAACAGGAATAACAAGAAAGGAACACTATTACCATTTTCGAAGTGCTCGCAAAAAGCTGACTCACAGAAAGGGTGACTGAGGTGCAGATAACCTGGCTGGAATTCATAAATAAAGTGGGCCAACCCTAGAAGTTAAACTACAAAAAAGTAAGTAGCTTTTAAAATAGGGTCAAATAAGGTGAAAGAAACAGAAAAAAATACATCTTGCTTTCTAACAGAAGATGATAAGTGTGCAGCAACGAACGGGGATGCTTGTGGCAATAACACCTTCACATATCACATCTCTTTCAGTGGATTTTCGGGTAGCTGGAGCGTTGTCTCGTGTTGTGACGTTATGAAAATGGTCATAGTTATTATAACCGAGAAGGACATTGTTAATTCTTGTGTGTGCACTTACCGTCTCGAGCTTCTCGAAGAGGCACACAATCACTCAGTGTCCCCCTCTTCCCGTCTTCGATTGCAAAGAAAAAAAAAAAAAGGGACTAAAAAAGGCAGATATAACTTGCGTCCCCCCTCCCTCCCCCCCTTTTTACTTTTGTAGAAATGTTCATTTGGATTTTTTACATTGTTGTTAGGGTCTAAAAAAATAGATTCAGGGGCTTGGTGTTGCAAAAAAAAAGGCTTTGCAGAAGTGAAGAGTGCCAAGCCTCCCTTTGCGCCGGCCGATTCGCGTGACAGTGTCGCTGCGCTCGATTTGACCAAAATAAAAACAACACTTTCTTTAAAAGAGGATAGGGGGGGAGCTGGTCCTGAAAAAAAATTGTAACAAATTACAAGGAATCCGTTATGTAAAAAAATCTAAGGGAATTACTTTAAAATTACTGTGAAAAATATGTAATTATTCCGTTACTAAATTACTGATAAACGTAAAGGATCACAAGTAATTTCGTTACTTGTAACAGATTACGTACAAGTCTGCTTGAGACACCTGAGCAATTAACCCTTGGCAGCAAGCCTAGGTGCTTGTGGGCTGAATGTGTGCCAACTATTCGATCGGACGCAAGTTCGAAACGAATGCCGAACAATGTCGAAATGAATGCTTCGTCGCGTTATGTTGACACATAGAATGTGCAGGCTTTGTGTTATCCACTTGGGGGCCTGCCTTGAACTTCTTTATTCATCGGCCACCAGACAACTGTCGTGTTGTCATACACTTTGGATAAATAGATGGATGGATATTAACAGCTGCACCTTTTATAACGGGCAGTAGCTTGCACCACCTGGCAGATGAGGATAGGGGTTGCAGTTACCAGACCGAATTCCAGAAAGGGTCTATTGAATGGCTTCGATGTGCTGCATCCAATGGCATCTATTGGGTTGAAAATTGAGCTGGCTCACACGCATTGTTTCTGTCATTTTGCGAGTTGGAGAGCTTGAAACACATAATAAACTTGCCACAACAGTGGTGAAGAACATTAAGGTACTAATACGCTGGCCTTAAAAATATTTGTGCCATTTCGTGTTCAATATAAATGAAATTTTCACAACTAGCTGTAATTTTGGTAGTTTGAAATATATAAGCTTATTGTTTGGCTATACAAAGGTCTGATTGAGACTTATTGTTTGGCTATCCAAAGGCCTGTGTCACCTGCAGAATATTTCCCCATGCAATCTATTTTTGGAGGGAATCGGTGGCGGAGCGTGTTAGCACACCACAGCTCGAAGCACGTGGAGTGAAAACTCACACTCCAGAAACCAGGTGCCCCATGTTCAATTCCCGCTCCTGCCCGTTTCCATTGGGTATAGTTTTGTGCCGGAGTGTGTCCGTGTAATTACTACCGCGTGATGGACGTTAAAGACCCCAGGTTGGCAGTGATGCTGCACTAATTAAATTTTGTCTTCTACAGCAAGGGCCCTAGACGCCGGATAGGGCTGACTAACCTCCCCCTGCCTAACCATACGGGCAGCACAATTTTTAGCCTAGTCTGGTATTGTGTTGTTTCTACTATTGATTGATTGATTGATTGGATGCAGTCTGCCGCCCAACTCGCTTCAGCCGTCCTGCCGCTACGACCGCATCGTATCCATGTTTGGAGGCAAGGGCTTCCACGTGGAGACAGTGGCGGAGCTGCGGAAGGCATTTACCGAAGCTTTGGCCACCCTGGACCAGCCGACCGTCATCGACGTTCGCATCAGCGGCATGGCGCAGCGCAAGCCACAGGTAGGCTGCCGGAATCGAGTTTCAACGTGGTTTCATGCGGTCGAGTTGCATGCAAGCTCAACTCTGTACAGTTGAGAGATGCGGTGTCAGATAACTTAGTTGGTCATATTGAGGCACACTCAAAAAATCCTTCATAAGCGGCACGCTTTCTTTTTTTTTTTTTTTTACCGTGACCGTTGTGATTGGCGACGTTTAGCAGCAGATCTGGTGTCTGTACGGTGTTAGCAAGGAATCACAATGTCACGTGACACCGCAACGTCACGTGCAGTACCTCCCGTTAAATTTAGTGGAAAAATTTTCAGCTAATTTTAGTGGGGAACCTTTCTCGCCATGTTTAGCAGAATTATTTCTTCGCTGAACCTGGCGAGGAAAGTGTGACATCATGTAATGACGCAATGTTTGCACCTTCGCAGAATTTTGAATAGTAGTGGAGAACGATATTAGCTATACTCGGCGACAACTTTTCTTGGCAATGCAGTGGAAGGTACGTCCCGCGTCCCCTCTCCCATTTTGAGTGTACGCAGGCTTTCCTCCTCCCCCATTTCTGGGGAGAGGAGGAGAGCCCGCGTACACTCAAAATGGGAGAGGGGACGCGGGACGTACCTTCCACTGCATTGCCGAGAAAAGTTGTCGCGGAGTATAGTCCGTGTACAGCGGAGCGTGCAGACCCTCACCTGTCGCCTCGGTCCATTCTCAAGAATGGCGAGGAAGCAGCTACTTTTTGCCAAGGGTTGGTAGCCAATGTTTTAGTAGAAGACTTTATTGACAACTAGGGGTGTGCGAATACCGAATAGCATTTTTCGAATCGAATACCGAATCGAATCAAGAAAATAAAGCGGAATATTGAATCGAATATCAAATAGTGATTTTATTCGTAGGAATTTTTCAGTGTGCTGCAAATGAGATTATTATATGTGCAGAGTATGCGCCTGTTGCAGAATATGCATCTGGTAGAAAACAAAAGCTAAAATGTAAAAAAAAAAAATTCTGGTGAAAAAAAAATGAAAATACAAGCAGTTGCTGTTGGATGTTGGGCACTAAAGATCCAATTTTATGGAACAAATATAATCTATCTACCCTAAACGTCACAGAAAAACCAAAGTTACATTCACGCATGCCTTTTTTTTTTTGTTAAAAGCACAACCTAACACCGCAACTTTTTTTATAAATATTTGTATATCTCAGAAAAGGGGCATTTTGTGATATTTGGTTTCCATTTTAAGGAAGAAAAAGGGCACCTGGATTTTATTTGACATAAGTAAACAGATAGGTGTTAAATCTAAGTAAACAGGCTTAAACAATATAATTTGAAGTAAGAAAAAAAAAATGTGGTTAGGTGGCGCAAGACACCGTCCAACTGCCGCTATGCATCCATTTTTCCGTTTATCTATTCTGTTTTAGAGAGCCTTGATTTAAAAGAGGGAGCAAGCGAAACTGAAACTAATGATACCACGGAGACGGCTTCAGCTCAGATTGGTCGCGTGCGCATGTGCTGTGTTGTCACGGGGAAAAAGGCGAGCAAACAGAAGGGCGACGATGCCTGCCGTCCCTGCCTTGCCTGCCCGATCCCGATCGACGCTTTCGTATTTTCGTCACCTTCTCGCACTTTGTAATTCAAACGCTGCTATCGAACTGTTGGAAACCCTCTCAAATCTAGGCACACTATTTTTCCGTTCCGTTTCGTTCCGAATCAGAATTTGCGGCTTGCGGTTACAAAAGTACGACGACGATAACTTGGCTGGTTTCATCGGCGTGGTTAACGTGGTTATCTTTCTGTGATCATGCAGTCGCCGATTTCTGTGAGTGCGGCAAGTGTGTTTTATATCGGTGCTTCAATTTGAAACGAGGGGCTTTACCCGTGAAAAGATTTAGGCATGGCACGGGATTCCGGCCTCCCAACCAACAATTCCTCTCTGGAAGCGGCACAAACAGGATGTTTCGGTTGTGATTCAAGGGTAGATTGTGTCACAATCGTGAGTAAATCTGCGTGCTATAAAGTTTGTGGCGTTCGTTACTTTTCTTTTTTCTAATTTGTGCATTAGATTGTTGTGGAATAGTAGGACGAAAAGCTGTTTTTCCCATAGTGTGTCTAACATCACGGCGCTTACATCGGGAGAAAAAACTGCTTTTTTGTCAGCTCCGCGCCGACCGCACGTCTTTGGCCGAATATATTGAATATTCGAGTGACCAAATACTAGGAATTCGATTCGCGAATCAAATTATTTGGGAACTTTCTATTCGATTCGAATTCATATATTCGAGTATTTGCACACCCCTTGGACCGAGACTGAAGTGATAATTTCCCGGTACAGGGCAAAGATTAATGGTGTTCAAGTTGGTAATGCACTAATATTAGAAATTATAGAACAAGCAGGATTGCCTTGTCCTTGAAAGCTACTAATGGCCACTCATTACATGGATAAGTGAACGGTTGAGTTTGGTGTTGGAAGTCGGGAATGAGAAAGAGCAGAATGAATAACCTGTAAATAGAGGAAAAGTCTAACCACGTTGAACGACACAAGCACATCCTTCAAAGTCTGGCTTTTGAAGGGTGTCTGTGTTGTCCCTCATGTTACATGTTTTTTTCTTTTATGTTAGACATGGAAGTTTGAAAGCACTGTCACATTGCTTTGCCAACCATTTTGTTTATGTTTGTTTCCTTTCTCGCAGGACTTTGACTGGCTCACCAAGTCCAAGATGTAATTGCGATTCTCAGAAAGGTTCTATTTTTGTAGACAGATACTACGGGTCACATTTAATAAAAAATGTGGTGGTACCTATTTTTTTATTACTTACACTGTTGTAGAGATTGTAAAATAAAAAAAAACTTTGAGAGTCTTGCCGAATATGATGTGCTTTGCTTCAGCTCGTTAGAATATGCTCTTCATCTTCTGCAAGTCAGTATAGTGTGGTAAATAATGTGTCACCTGCAGCATTTATCTACAAGACAACTTGTTCGGTACCCTTTGCCCATCTATTCGTATTTGATTTAGTGGTATGTCTCTAGTCCAGTCATGGGCACGTTACCAGTAAAAAGTAAGTTTTACAGTTACCTAGGGGAAAAATGTAACTTTGTTACAGTTATAGTTACTGGTTTCAAAAAGTGACGTGTTACAGTTACTGCAAAAACAGTCACGCCGTTACTTTCTCGTTACAGTACAAAAATTGGACACAAGGAATCGCCAACCAAAACAATATTATTTTATTTGTTACACTATCTATACAGTGAGAAGAAAGGTAAACTGAGAAATTAGAAAAATTTAAACCCAAAAAGTGTTTCAATCGGCAGTTCTCCATCACCAGAAAACCGGCAGTTCAGACTGTAACAGCATACAAAAATCAATGCGAGCTCACAGGTTCGTCAAGTACGAGAAATAGTCGCTTAGACCCAAGTGAAGACAGGCAGTAACCCACTATAAGCAAACGGCAATTACATTTTAAGCTCAAAATTTAAGCTCCAAATGAAATGTAGTTCTTTCGTTTCCAGTGCGACAAAGAAATACCTTTAAACGGCTCCATCTGCAGTGCATAGTCAACTCTGGCCATATTTTGACTTCACTTTGTGGCCACTCTTCTATTAACACCAGTAGTGTACATATCTCTATAATATGTGATGCAGTCTAATGTTCAGCACCTTTAACTTGAACACCACTTGAGGTTGAACAGCCCTGCTGTACACCACATGTGCATGCTGAGGTTAAAGGTATGGACAAGACTTTACGAAGAAAAAAGTTCAATATCAATGTTTCTCAATAAGGGGCTGCAATGCCTTAACTTATCAGTCAAATCAAGGAATAAATACATTTCAATTTTTGATACACAGAAAAGATATTACCCTTTTGTGCGATGTTTCTTTTATATAGGGCGTTTTGACGCGACGTCGATCCGCCATTTAGCTGCGAGCGAGAAAATGCCTTACGGAAGAAAAGAGGCATGATGAAAATAAGGTTTTATGCACTATTGATTTGACACTGCTATGTAAATCTTCGTAATACTCGCCTTTAGTATGCACCAGACAGCTCATGACAACAAAATGGTGGACGAAAAAACGTCGGTGGAAACACCCTGCATGACAGTAAAGCAATTGCATCTCGAATTAGCAATTATTTGTATTCATCTATTTTATCATCATCGTAACCACCATTCTTCCCTCACCGTGGGTGTGATCTACCATCACTCCTGCCTGTTCACAAGGGGTCCCCTAACATTTGTCATACCTAATGTACACTCCGCGACACTGTGAGAGTGAACACGTCATTACTGGATTTCTGCCAGAATTGAAGGACTGAACTCGCTTGGAACTATTATGCAATTTGGTGTAAAATAATAGCTACCAAATTAGTTCTTGCTTGTCTCTCTTTTTTTTTTAGCAAGACACGTGTGCAACAACCAGATTTTTTTTTTTTTTTTTTGCCGAAATATTTTTTTGGTTATGCCAAACATTGTTGGCGGTAAACACCGATTCTACCTGTGCTGATTCATACTGCTGAACTTTAAGCAAAGGAAATGTGCAAAACAGCAATAGACCAGTTCTCAAAAAGGCCGCATGTATTGAATTATGGGAATGCCCTGTATGCTCCTCCTCGCTCCCACAGCATCTATCACGTGGCACTGAAGAGGGTAACGCAGCTTGGCTGCGTGCTCCAAGGTCGCCTTGGCCCGCCCAAGTTTAACTTTGGTTCTGCATAACTCGTTCCTTGGCAGAATCCTTTCAGCACGTCTACGCGTTCCAACGAGTGTCCAAAGACCCAAAACCTGGACGATGGAATAACGCACGAGCTGGGGGAGTGCGGCTGCCGCTGGTTGGCTGAATTCCATTCGTTCACATTGAAGCTGCCACACACACGCACACTACCGGGCCTGCCAAGCGGAGACTCTTGATATCTTTTTTTCATTTTCCCTTCCCAAAGTTGGCACGGTACTCGGAAGAGAGCCGCGGCTCGAGAGCCGAGAGGCTTCAAAAGGGGAAAGTGTCGTAAAAGTGTCTTCGCGCGCTCCCCTCCAAAGCGATGCAAATGCGGCCGCGTCGCCACCGTGGCCAGAAACCCCCAAGTTCGTTGGAAGCTCCGGTGCTGGCGGTGTCTCCGACAACGAGGCTAACCAAAACTCTTTAAAAAAAAAAAGTTAAAAAAAAGAGAGAGGAGGGTCCTTGTTGTGATCTCGCGAGTCAGCCCAGTCGACAGGCGACGTCGTCGAGAATGTCGAGCGGGATACGGAGTTGGCTGGAACGTCCGAAGGAGGACGGCGCCGGACGTCGGAGGATGTCCGCCGACGATGCCTTGCGCGTAAGTGACCGTGGCAATTGTTTTGTTTTAGCAATTCGTGCGACTGGCTGATTGGGCCCTTCGCGACTTGTTTTTGCCGCCGATACATCGCCGCGTCCGCGCCTCCCTTCCTCGTGCTATTTTGGGGTTCGAGCGCGATTTTTTTGTTCGCCTTTAACGCGCTCTCTTATTTGCTTTTTTGTTTTGTCTTTTTAGTTTGACTGTAAGGGCGAGTTTGTTGTTGGATGCGACTCCTCGCACGTGTAGTTTGTTACTGTGTTGTTTATTTGTACCTATTTTTTTCTCTCAGTATTTTGCGGGGTAGGATGGTGCTGGGGTATTAATTTATGCGAGTCGGCGACATGGTTGTAATGCTTATCCCGCACTCGTTCATGCGTTTATCTCGCAGAAACAGCCCCAAGCTTTGGTGTGTATTTTTTCGAATATATTTTTTTTTCCGCTGTTTATTTCGGTTGACAAGCAGCATACATTGGGCTTGGTATTAGTTTGTGCTGTTTATAAGTAACGCTAAAACGTTAATTACAAACACCGAATAAGCACGCCGAACACCCCAGTCGAGCGACATTAGACTGAAATAAAATTTTTGAGCCGCTTCGGTTGCTCCGATTTAAAACGCCGGCCAACGGATCCTCAGTTGACGGGTTCGAATCTCGACCGAAGTGCCCGCAATCTGAGGGGAGCTTATTGCAGAGAAGGCGCCGGGGAACCGATATCTCGGCTGCAGGTCGAAAGATACCCAGGCGCTCGAGAGGCCTCATCAGCTCTCCGTTGGGGTGAGACTGATGTCTTTCGTTGGCAATGGCTTGGCACGCAAAATCCCTAAATTTGACTTTGGCATTGTTATTGATGTCACATAAGCAGGCATAACCTGTCAAGAGGCAGTGGTCATAACGTATATTAAAATAAATTAAAAAAATCTGAGAAAGTACCAAGAACGGACAGATGGCTTCGGCGCGAACATCTTGCACTCATTACCAAAGGATACGTCGTCTGCTGCCGGCAAGCTGTTTCGGTTTCGGAACCCTTTGAAATAGCCTGTTTCGAGTTGTGTTTTTAAATTTAGGAATTTTAGGCTGGTTATTTTAGGCCAAATAACTGCGAAAATTTAAATATATTTAAACGTAAACAATCAAAACGTTGCATGTCCTCAATTTTAAGTCCATTTCGCAAATTGAGAGCTACGAAGCTGCGGCTCTATCGCAAACGGCCATGTTGTTCAGTGGGCGTGTTTGCATCACGTGACCCACAACAACAAGCACGAAAAACCAAAAGTAAAAGCGAGACGCCGGCCGGTGGACGCGCAGCCGCCGGTTTCGTAGCCCGCATGGCCGTGTTTGTGTAGCCAAGCCGAGCGAGCCGGGACGACGAGTGAGGCATACGAAATAACGAGGCACCGCAAGGCTTGCGCTGCCGCCCTACCCTTCGAGAGGCGCGAAACGACGACGACGCGGATCGCTTCCCGTGTCAGCGAGCCGGCGACGGACTAAAAAGACCACGTCGCCGAATCCCAGCGATCCGATCAAGTCAAGAGCCCTGCAAACAGGCCAGTCTTTTCGCATTCAAAAAAGAAAAAGAAAGTTTTTTTGTTGTTTTTTTGGGAAAGGCGACATCGATTGATTGTTTTGCCGCCGCCTCGACCAAAACAAGCGACGGACGCACGTGCTACTGGCACACTGCTGACCACCGCGTTGTTTGCGAGCTTCGAAAGTGTGACTGCCTTCTCGCTAGAGCTAGGACAAGGTTAAGGTCGGGAGGAGCACATGTTTTTAACGCGAGCTTTCGCCCGACATCGGCGGCGTTTTTGTGACGAGCCAAGCCGCCGTCGTTTTTGTTGGCTCGTCAAACGCGGTGCAAAGGGACCCGGTCTCGGTGGCTGGCTGCGCACACGGTGTGTCTGGCGGCGTGCGTCTTGATCCGCGGCTCGTGCAGAACTTTGCAGGCGTCCGTGGTGGTGGAACCTTGCGGGGGAGTTCCTGTCTTCCGGCGACGTTAAAAAGCACGACGCACTTGGGCGCCGGTGTCCCACAGATCCCCCGAAAATATTGATCGTCCCAGCCCAGTCGGCGCTGGCCACCGTCTGATCTCTTCCGCGGCGCGGCACTCTCTTTTTCCCGGTGCCCGTAGCCCCGAAAGCGTACTCGGAAGCGGAACGGTGTGTTTTTGAAGCATCGATTAATTTTGAGGTGTCGTAACTTCTTTTCCGCGCCGCCCCGGCCCCTTTCTTTTTCAGGCGTTGTAGATGCGCCTTTGTTTTTCGAACACTCAAGAAAGAGAGAGAGAGAAGTAGTCGCACGGGCCTACGCGCTTTTAGCATCCTGTCGTTAGAAGACGACCGCATTCTTGCCTGTGATGCGCCCGTCTCTGTTTATCCTCGCTATCGGGGTCTCAATTTCCTTTCCCTTCTCGCGCAGCAAGTTTTTTTTTTTTTTTTTATATGATAAGTTTTATTTTTTTTTTGCTTTCTTTTTTCTCATTTTTTTCTTTTTCTGTCGCGTCGCGATTGCGTTTCATGATCGCATGCGGCTCGCCCGTTCCGTCAATCTCCGGCGCTGGAGGCGAGCCAAGCGGCGGTGTGGCATCGGGTAGAGGTGTCTCGTTTAGTCTACTTAGCGGTTTGGAGCCTGCAACAGGAGGCAGGCTACGCATCTGGAAGTAGCTGGGGCTTCGTAAAAAAAACCGAAACATGTTTTCGTTAAATAATAATAAGAAGAAATAAAGGAGGTGTGTCTTTCCTGCGCCCTGGACAATGCGCTTCTCTGCGCAACACTACCACGACAACAACGGAAGAGGAGGAACACACATACGTACCCTTACAACAGATGCGACGCATGTGGAGGGGAAACCCGTTTTTTGGTTGATTTATTAGGACGCGCCTGGCAGCATTTCCAGCTGCGCAACTTGGTTTCGGCGAGTTTATAGTCAGCGATAAACGTTTGCCGTCGAACTAAAATCGAGTCTGCGAGGCATGAAACCGTTCTCCACGTTGGATACATTTCACGTGCCACGAAAAGATTGAGTCACCCTGGACCAGGAACTCAAACGGGAACTGAAACCGCGGAATGAAACCTTTATTTTAATGTCACGATAGTCGAAACCGAAAGCAATTAACAAGTAACCGATGAACCGGAATAACATATCTAACAGCATTACGACCGTGAGTGATCGTACAATATTCATGGCACAGGTAATGGACCATTTACAGTTGCACTTATTGCATAATCGTCGACCAGTAAATTGTCTTGGTTACTTGTATAAATATGACATTTGCCTTGCTTATTTTATGTAACACATATTGTAATGTTTCCCCATGATAATGGTTTTTTTGTTTGTGTGTTTGCATTTACTTTTATGTAAGGATGTCCGGCAACTTTTCACCCCTTGCCCTCAAGGCTTAGTAAATGATCATGATGATAATATATATTTATAGCGCTTCTGCGTTTTTAGAATTAAAAAAAGAAAGTTATAAAAAAACATTTTTGTTTTGTTTTGTTTAACTTTGCTAAATTTGTATTTGAGTTGCGAGACGCAAAAGTAGGGATTTCTACTATTGGGTCCTATGACCAAAAAGCACAGGTTCGTTTATCCCTATTGTTATTTCCATGAACGTATAAAAATGAAAAGACGCTAACCAATTAACTATTCAACGTCTTTTTTTTTTTTTTGTGAAGATTTTAGATGATAAGCGAAGGAGAATACGAGAAAAGACGGTGAGAGTGCAGGCGAGCTGGTGGTAGCTAATTATGTCGTATTACACCTGAGACTGCGGTGGAAGAAATCGGAAGACTTTCAGTAGAAGGAACAGACACAGAGAACGTCTCAAACTCAGCTCTCAAACTCAGGAGCTGAGTTTGAGGCGTTCTCTCTGTCTGTTCCTTCTACTGAAAGTTCTTCCGATTTCTTCCACCGCAGTCTCAGGTGTAATACGACATGATGAGAATACGTGTTTTAATACTGATGGGCTTGCAGTGACGTTTTGTGCAAATCTCTGACCTTCCAAGACAGTTTTTTTTTTTTTTTTTAGTTTATGCGATAACTGAATATTGCAATGATCTTTGTGAAGTAAACGCTACTTCATTACGCCGAATCGCCTTAGCGTTAACACAGTCTCGTCAAAATCGTTAGTTGTGTGCATCCCCCGAGTGTGAGGCGAAAAAGCCGGTGATACTATGAACTGCCTTCGGATGTTTTCATACTCGTCGAGACTGGTTTCAAATACAAAAACAGACGAATAAAAAATAATAATAATAATAAAACGGCAATTTTGCTTTGGTTTTGTTGATTCGGGAAACTGTAAAACTTGTCTGGGATGTTCCGTGGTTACGCCTTGCAGCACGAGAGATAGAGCAGTCGACGTGACGTTGGCAAACCACCTTTCAGTAGATTGCACGCTGATTCGTTTGCGTGCAAGACAGATTCTAGAAAGCTAATCTGCGGCTTTCCAATCTAATCGCATTTGCTCGCCGGGCTGATCGTTCTTCGACTGAAAAAAGAGCAGCGCTCGGATTGTCCCCTCCTCTTGACAACTAAATATCTAGAATAAGTAATTAAAAAAAAAAAGGAAGGTGCATGAGGTTATGTGCATAGTACAGACTTCCTTCTTTTTTTGTGCGTGTGCGGGCGACAGAATTTAGTAGGTCAATATTTTATTAAAAATGATTGTGCGCTTTGTACAGGGTAGACCAAACTCGTTCTAAATAAGTAATCCGAAAATGGGTCTCATATTTTACGCACTTTATTAATAGTTAGACCACGCAAGTGATTGTGTAGCATGGACGTAATTCAGGGAATTGGTGTGTATGCTTATACAGCCGGAAGTTAGTCTGCCTTAGTGAGCGTCTGGTGTCTCAGCTGTATAGATAAGAAATTTAGCCAGTGCGATTATTCGAGAAAGGTGTCACTAAATTTATACTGAAACATAAGTCTTTTTTTTTTTTTCACTACTTAAACGTTATACAAGTTTCACTATGACTGTCAGCGCCGCTGCTCCTGCGCGCAAATCCCGCCACTTCGTCGCTAAGCACCGAATCTTCCGAATCCACCTAATTTCGCCCATCAGCGCCCTCAACGGCCATTACCAAAAGAAACGAAGTAAACGTGACCTTGAACGCTCGAAATTCAGATAGCTGAGGTAGCGACTTGCTCAGTTAGAATACACATAACATCACCATGTCCGATCGTTGTGCTTAGCGGGGTCCCGGCGATCCGCAGTTCACATCGCGAAGCCCTCTTATTACCCAGCTGCGTTAAGTAACTCTCGACCTTCCAGACAGCGCAGCGAAAATTTTGGCTACGTTGACCTCCATTATAATGTGAGGAGAATGCCGGGCCTCGTGTTATCTGCAACGGCCCACATCGGAGGCCACATCACCCGTGTCGTATAAACGAACATTTGGCATGCCTCTCCTGCTCGTTTCATAGGACAAAACCGAAGACCAATACCGATTTGCAGGGTTTTACAAAGCACGTGGATCGAGGACGACTTCTGTGCCCCTCAGACGAACTGATTAATGCGCTCGGCACTCTCAGAATGTTTGCGGCAGATGTGTTGTTATGCAACGTGAGGAACTGGCGGCCCCTCGAGATACTTCTCTGGCTCGCAGAGTCCGCAATCTACGACTCTCCTCTGCTAGTCCGGTCAACCGACAAAACGAGACTCATCGTCGTGAACTGGTTCATCTCATTTGCACAAAGTTCTTCAAACCACTTCCGTAGAGGTTTGTGATGTTGGAAAGAAATGACAGAAGACACGAAGATGCGGTATAGAATAATTCACATTGCACTGTAGAAATATGGGAAGAGAATATTTACAAAACTATTTACACCACTTCAAGAAATGTTAAGTGGAGTGTCCCCTAAAAAGTCCCTAGCTCACGACTTTTCAGTCCTTTCGGCGTAGCACCCGTGGCAGCCGATGATCAGGGGTCTACCGACGTCAGGGCCGAGGGACGTAGTGACGAGGCAGTTGATCGATGGCCGAAGGCTTGAATCAGGCCCTGTATGTCGGTGGCAGCCTATGACCAGGTGTCCACCAAGGTCAGGGCCGAGGAACGTAGCGACGAGGTAGTTGGGCGTTGGCCGAAGGCTTCATTCAGGTCCAGTACGTCTGTGTACGTCCGGAAGGTTGGCGCCCGGACTGCGTGAGAAGCGGGTTGTGGGTCGGGCCTCTTGGCGTCTGGCCACGCCGACGGAGGTCCGGCCTGGGGCGCTATGTTGCGCTTTTTGGACTCCCAGGAGACTAGGGAGAAGGAAGTGACGTCAACAACACAACAAACGCAGATTGGGTGTTGATTTCGTTTTCTTCTGTCAACATCCAATCTGCGTTTGCTGTGTCGTTGACGTCACTTCCTTCTCCCTAGTCTCCTGGGAGTCCAAAAAGCGCAATATAGCACCCCTGGTTGCGTCCGCTCCGTCCTTTGTCAACCGCCCGAATCCTCTCTCCCGCTCCTCGCGTGCCCCACCCCGTCTTCTTCTACTTCGTCCTCTCTGGCTTGTCGTGGGATCGCTCATCAAACCTTTCCACGGTGTCGCCTCTAATAAGCGTAG